GTATTTTTCATGAATAAAGGAAATGACTTTCATTTCGGAGAATATATTTAATTGTTTCGTTAAGTTGAAGATTGCTTTCACATCTAAACTGAAAGCAATTTTGTGTTAAATCTGTTTCGAGTAACGAATCGCAAGAATTTCAATGATATTATCACACCATTTGACTCACATTTAGATGTGTTTTACAAATGAGTGAATGTTTTCTTATTTCTGTTTCAAATCTTAACACAAAGAATATGCTAATGAATGGCCATCACTATTATGTCATTTGAATCCCGGGTTATTTATTGGCGTTTACTAAATAAGTGTAAACTTTATTTGAATTAAATTATAGTTTCATTATATTTATATACTTTTCATGTCTAAGTCCTTAAGAATAATCATCAAATCACGAGTCAATCACCTCTTTATGAGACTATTTAAAGATCTGGCACTTGGAGTCTATTGCAAGTTTAATCTCTATAATGATAGCATGTCTTTCCTCGACTTGACTATTGATGGGTAAGAGTCCAGTCATTTACCACTTTATATCATATGTTTTTCAATATTATAATATTTATCCGATAATGGAGTTTTCAAATTGATTTTATTTATTTCACAACAAATATTCAAAATCGTTTGGAAATAGATTTGCGAGTCCCAAATGATATTTAACTATCATAATACAGTCATTATTATGTGATAAAATTGTTATTTGGTATAAGATTCACTTATTTGATAACCATTCAATGCGCCAAATTGTAGACTTAACGCTATTATTGTCAACAATTTAAGCATTCAATTGATTGAATTTATTTTTTTTAAAAATATTTCCTTAGAGTTTGTGGCAAATATAGAAATATATATTTATTTTAATAAAGTTATTTTAACTTTTGATCATGAAACTCAAAGTTGATTTTTAAATCTAGCAATCAAATATTTACTACCGGTCCATGTGTTGCTTACAAATTATTAAAAGTCAATAAAACATGTAAAAAGTAATTTTAGTTTGTCAAAGGTTGTTTCAACATAATTAGGATTTAAAATATTAAGTAATAAATATTTAGCAATAAATTACTGATTAATTTTATACTGTACTGCTATTAAACATAAAGTTTTATGTTTGAATGGCAAGTAATCAAAAACAAAGTTAGATATCCTTTTGTTCGGGACCTTTAAGTTCAACACCAAACGGATATTAATGATATGTCAATCCAAACAATATTTATGTGACTGACACTTGTTTGTAGTTTTTAAGTGTTTCTTAAAAAAGTTTTAAGTCTTTAATAACATAAAAACGATAATTTATTCATCACTTCTCATAAAACCTCTTTTGTTGACATCAGCCCAGAGTCGGACGTGTTGTACAAGTTTTTAAAAACAGTGATTTTTATTTTTTATTATATTTCACTAAATCATTATTTATTCATTTCCTGTTGATTTGATTTATCGATTCTGTGGATCCAAAACACAAACAGCATATCATTGAATGAAATTCTGATTTAAAAACAGTGATTTTTATTTTTTATTATATTTCACTAAATCATTATTTATTCATTTCCTGTTGATTTGATTTATCGATTCTGTGGATCCAAAACACAAACAGCATATCATTGAATGAAATTCTGATTTCAAGTTTTGTTTCTTTTTTATATTACAAGTCTTTAATCGGTTTTTGTTTGTCTTTTGCACATCGTTTACATTGAATATTACTATTAGATGTCAGTTATAGAAATTACATCCAATATTTCATGTAATTGATTGCAATTAAGCTATTTGTTTAGCATTTTATATAAATGTCTTGTATATTTGAATCAAATATTTATTTAAAATGAAATTAATTTATTCATTAATTTCTAAATTATAGCCAATTTATAAATCATTATATAATTGTCTGGTCATTAAGAAATGTATATAATAGGAAATTCATCCTAATTTATTAAACAAAACAGACTTTCCAACCATTTTGAAAAAAAACATTATTTTGTTTTATAAATCACAAGAAAATTGAAAATATTTGTTAATTTACTTCAGAGTCGACAATAGAAAGGCATTTGTTTTGTATATATTGGAGAAGAGGTGTGACTTTTATGGATAAATTCGATTCTGTGGATCCAAAACACAAACAGCATATCATTGAATGAAATTCTGATTTCAAGTTTTGTTTCTTTTTTATATTACAAGTCTTTAATCGGTTTTTGTTTGTCTTTTGCACATCGTTTACATTAAATATTACTATTGGATGTCAGTTATAGAAATTACATCCAATATTTGATGTAATTGATTGCAATTAAGCTATTTGTTTAGCATTTTATATAAATGTCTTGTATATTTGAATCAAATATTTATTTAAATTGAAATTAATTTATTCATTAATTTCTAAATTATAGCCAATTTATAAATCATTATATAATTGTCTGGTCATTAAGAAATGTATATAATAGGAAATTCATCCTAATTTATTAAATAAAACAGACTTTCCAACCATTTTGAATAAAAACATTATTTTGTTTTATAAATCACAAGAAAATTGAAAATATTTGTTAATTTACTTCAGAGTCGACAATAGAAAGGCATTTGTTTTGTATATATTGGAGAAGAGGTGTGACTTTTATGGATAAATTATATGATAATATAAGAAAAATACAAGTTTAGCCCAAATCTAACCATTAATCTATAAATAGGGTTCAAATAACTTAATATAATATTATTTCAGAAACAGTGCCCCGAGTTTAGTGAAAGCGTTTCAAATGTATTATATTAGAGATAAAAATTTTTGCTATCTCTCAATAATCAAAAGTTATGGTTACTGTACATACGAGTGGTGGGCTCTGGGATGGGTTAATAACCTAATATAATGTACTCATATTTTCTATCCTAATAAGTATGTAATAACAGTTATATAATAGGGATGAGGTACGACACACGTGTATCAAGCACACAAACATTTATCGATTAAAATAACATTTATTTCAATGCAATGTTCTCAGTGTGTGTATGATTTTTCATGTAATTTTATAACGTAAATGGTTACATGATTTTATACACCCTTTCATTACTGATAAATCTTTACTTTCGATTTAATTCTCCTGTCATTTATATCTCTTGAATATTACTCTTGATTTTTCTCATACAATATATAATACAAGTCCCGAAACAGACAGTTATTCCCGATTTGTTCTCAAACTTAATAAATTGTTTCAAACAATATATGAGAACAAAATCAAAGATAAATATATAAATTATAATCATATGAAAAATGATATATAGTTTGGATGTCTTGTATGCTTAACCATTATTTTGCCTCTTTTTCGCCGCAAACACACAATTCATAAGAAATATATTTTTCTTTAATTGTCGTGATTTTGCTTCAGAAAGGTATTTATGTTGTGGTGAACTCCGAGGGCTATCTATATATTATATTATATGTTATTATTATTTATGATTTCGGGTATCTTTTTGTTACATAAGTGGAATCAAAAGCAAAAATGTTTTTCTATTTATTTACAAACATTTAGTAGCCTTTCCTTAAAAAGTGAAAGTTGACTGACTTTCGCGGTTTGCCTCAAATTTTTTTTGCATTAATATCCATAAGAATTCATTTATTATATAAATATATCAGATATTTCTTACTTTTAGCTAATTTTTTTAAACGCTTTTCATTTCGCAAACACTTTTTTCTTGTTCACAAATACTAACTCAAATGAAAGGAAAGTTAATTAAATGCACTTTTTGTTTATATAATGCAATAACTTATTCATAAAATAGCAACAAAATCAAAATCAAAACTAAAATAATCGCAAGAAATTTGCTTAAAAAGCGATTCTTTGTTTGGATAGCCTTTGAGTTCAAGTTTATTCACTGGGTATTCAAATTTGGTTCATTAATACCAGTAATAAATTATCACTTCTGTTCAAAACAAGCCATTATTTTCCTAAGACTTTGAATATACTAAATATAATATACGTGTTTTAAAAAATACTACATTTTATCGCTTAATAAATATTATTCAAATTATTTTTATTCAATACCAAACTACAAACTATAGTCTTATTTATGGTATAAAAATTATAATTACTATCCATTCGTCAAAATACAGGCATTTGTTGGCCATATATTTAAGTCAAACACATATTATTCAAAACAATTTTAATGACAAGTCTCGCAACGAAAGCGAAATTTTCGCTTCGGAGCCAAAAATAAGAGAAAAACTTATTTTCGGTCTTTTTTTATTCAAATTACCCGTAAATCGAATTTTTATGTAAATTTGATTTCACTTTTAAACCCTATTTCGAGGTCAATAGTATTGCTATTATAAGAAATTGCGACAATTTTTCTTTAATTTTGTTTTTATTATGAAAATTAATGGCCGTTTATAAGCGGTTTGTGCCTCAAATTTCGGGGGATAAGTAGTCACTCACTCACACAAAGCGAAAACTCATAATAATAAGTATTTTTCATGAATAAAGGAAATGACTTTCATTTCGGAGAATATATTTAATTGTTTCGTTGAGTTCAAGATTGCTTTCACATCTAAACTGAAAGCAATTTTGTGTTAAATCTGTTTCGAGTAACGAATCGCAAGAATTTCAATGATATTATCACACTATTTGACTCACATTTAGATGTGTTTTACAAATGAGTGAATGTTTTCTTATTTCTGTTTCAAATCTTAACACAAAGAATATGCTAATGAATGGCCATCACTATTATGTCATTTGAATCCCGGGTAATTTATTGGCTTTTACTAAATAAGTGTAAACTTTATTTGAATTAAATTATAGTTTCATTATATTTATATACTTTTCATGTCTAAGTCCTTAAGAATAATCATCAAATCACGAGTCAATCACCTCTTTATGAGACTATTATTGATAATTACCTAATATTTTGATTTTATTGGTATATTCAATATATTCAATATTGAGCTGCTTTTGGCGTTTTTTATGACTTTAATTACAATTATTTAGCACTTTTTATATCAGAAATTTAATATTTTAAATCTCATTTGCAGTGATATAATGACAGACCGACTGCGAGGAACAGCCAAACTGCCAGACCTATCGCTACATATCGTTGACATTAATGGGGATGACATAAACGAGGTGTCCTTAGGGGACACACTTCGAGTTCAAGTGCGGATGAGTGACGAGGGTATCAATACATCGATTATCACTAATAGATTGGCAAACATTTAAAACAAATGCCTTTAAACTGTGATTTGACATTCATTTGCAGCCACTTTTGGTATATTTGTGCGAAATCTGATCGCAAAGGACGGACTGGGAGGCACTAATAACCTCACTCTCATCGATAACTCGGGGTTTGTTTCCCTAATTAAACGCTGTGTCTATGTTTTAATTAAAAAGTCAATTTGAATTGCATTTATCGATTAATTAAACTCGATCTGCAATAATAAACAAATAAAATAAGTGGTCATTAATTTTGAATGCAATTCTATGATCAGATGTCCGGTTGAGGCGAAAATGATGAGAGAGGTCCGGACGATCACCAAAGACGAGAAGTCTCTGGAGAGCTATTTGGAGGCCTTTACGTTCACTGGGAGTCAGATGTTGGAGATCGAGGCAGAAGTGGAGACCTGTCTCGACAAATGCCGACCCGTCAGTAGTCATCATTATATCACTCGCACAGAGATTTTGTTTTTTATTAAAAACTTGTTGAATAAATTACAAACTTACTAATTATGAAATGATTTGTGTGTCCCATCGTATGGTTAGGTTCAGTGCAAAATCGTAACCGGCAGAAGTGATGACGAGTACGAAACGGTCACATCTT